TATAAAAACTACTCGTATCACTAAGTAGCGCACTTACTCTTAGTACCACTCATGTCGCTAAATTACGCTACTTTTAGTACCACCCATAAGGCTATGTAACGCACTTACTCTTAGTACCACTCACATCACTAAGTAACGCACTTATTCTTAGTATCACTCATATTTGCTAAGCGATGCACTTTCTATAAGTACCATTCATGACGCTACGTAACGCATTTACTTCTAGTACAACTCATACGGCTAAGCGACACTTAGTACCACTCATATCGCTAAGTAATGTATTTACTTTTAGTACCACTCATATGTCCAACTAACCCACTAATCCGTAGTACCACTCATATAGGTTAGTAATACACTTACTCTTAGTACCACTCATATGGCTAAGTAACACACTTACTCTCAAAATGACTAGGCAAGAATGATGAACTAGCAGAAGTTTGGGTACAAATATGAAACCCTAGTTGGGGTTGTACCCCATATTGGCTACCCCACTACAGCCTACAAGCATAATACAGTTTAACACACCCCCATAGGCAAAGTGGGGGAGAACAAAGGGTCACAAGACCAGTCCAGCAAAGCAAAGCAAAGCCCAGGGTGGATCACAACGTCACCACACTCCGAGCACAAGTAAAGGCCACAAGGCCAGTTCACATGCAGTGCTAGATATAGTACAAGACAAGTAACACAGTGATCAAAACCTAGCAAGCAAGCAACAAGATATATATAAAGTACAGTACAAAGAATGTCAAGCAGTGAGCAAGTGAGGAAACGTGGACACAAGGCCTAAAGAAGTACAGTGCCGCTGATGATCACTAGGCGGGAGCGCCTTGGTGAAGATATCAGCAGTGTTGGCCTTTGAGTCCACGTACACAAGCCGAAGCTGACCGCGCTGCTGAAGCTCTCGAGCAAGAAAGTAGCGAAGAGCAATGTGCTTCGTCCTGTGCTCCAGTCTGTGCTCCTGACACAAGGCAAGAGCCGCCTTGTTGTCACCGTACAGAACTGGAGGAGAACTAGGCCGCTCTCCCAAGTCAGTCAGCAGGTAGGTGAGCCAGCGTAACTCCTGTGCAGCCATGGCTGTGGCGTAGATCTCAGCCTCACAACTAGAGCCGAGAACAGAGGAAGAGCGGGTGGACCGCCACGAGACAGAACCTGAGCCAAGGCTGAAGGTGTAACCCTGTGACGACCGCTGCGTAGCCAGGTCGTCCACCCAAGAGGCGTCCGAGTGACCAGTGAGGACAACTCTGTCGCGTCCTCCAAGCACCAGCCCCATGCCTGATGTACTGCACAGGTAACGCAGCACCCTCTTAGCAGCCTCCCAGTGCTCTCGCCTGTGTCTCCCAGGCGCAACGTAACGAGCAAGGATGCTAAGAGGGTACGCGAGGTCAGGTCGCGTGCAAGTCATCAGGTACATGAGGCAGCCTACAAGCTCTGGGTACGGGCCACTCGGCTCTACGGACTCGTCCGAAGGTGGAGCTGAGAGCAAGTGGCTGGTAGCCAGAGGTGTGGCCTGTGGTGAGGAGAACTGGAAGCCGAAGCGCTGAAGGACCTGCTGCACCATGTGTGACTGAGTCAGGGTGATGGTGCGGCGTGCTTTGTCCCGGGTGATCTGCAAGCCAAGGTAGCTACGCAGTTCACCCAGGTCAGTGCAGGTGTGTCTCTTCTGCAGCTCCGACTTCACACGAGCGAGTGCCTCAGTGTCAGCAGTAGCAAAGACCAAGTCGTCGACGTACACGAGGATGTAGAACGGCGGCAGCGACGTGTCTGTGCGCAGAAACAGCGACGGGTCAGCAGTAGACGGCGCGAACCCAAGAGCCGCAAGAGTAGTCCTCAGTGTGTCGTGCCACTCACGTGGCGCCTGGCGGAGACCGTAGACTGGCCGGCGGAGACTCCACTGGGTACCAGGGGGAAACGACCCAGTAAAGCCAGGTGGGCGGCGCAACCAGATCTCCTCGTGCAGGCTGCCCTGCAGGAACGCTGTGCTGAAGTCAAGAGAGTGAAGCTCGTAGTCACGCTGAGCAGCAACGTGCAGCAGAACCCGAAGAGTGGTCATCTTCGGGGTGGGGGAGAAGGTCTGGAAGAAGTCGACCCCCTGACGCTGACTGAAGCCTCTAGCAACGTAACGAGCCTTGAAGACAGGCGGAGAACCTGGCGGCCGCTTCACCCTGAAAATCCACATGCCATCGACGATGTTCGCCCCAGGAGGGGGAACCTCGTCGACGTAGGTGCCTGTGGACTTCCAGGATGCCATCTCTGCGTCCATGGCTGTCTGCCACTGAGAGGAGTAGGGACCCGAGATCGCCTCTGCGTAAGTGCGCGGAGTGGGGATGTCTACTGCATCCGGGTCTCCCTCAGGGGCAAGCAACCAGGCCACGAGATGAGGTACAGCAGCCGCAAGTGAGTCAAAGTCCTCCTGCCTGTCCTCAAGGACGTCCGTGCCAAGAGCACACTCACCCCCGACGGACGGAGGACAGACAGACGCAGACTCTGACTCAGCGACAAGGCTAGCAGCGTAGTCTAGGCGACAGGCAGCAGCAAAGTCAACCAACTCAGCGACCAGAGCAGACGCAGCCGAGGACTCAAAGGTGGGGTCAGTGACAACAGTAGCAAGGAGACGCGTGACTGTAGGGTGCTCAGCGCGATACCGGTCAGACTCAGGGTCCGGAACGGCAGGCAAAGAGGACGCAGGAGGAGACGGTAGAGGGACACGCCGAGGAGCAGTAGAGGGACGCAGAGTCATGTAGTGAGTGCCTGGGACAGGAGGAGGACGCTCACGACGGACACGACTACCAGTGCGAGCAGGACGAACAGGCGACGCAGGACGAGACTCAGGCTCACGACGCTCTGTAAGACCTCCTGTGGGACCAGTATAAGGAGAGGGAGTAGGGAGAGGCGAGGCAGGCGGTAACTGTGACTGCGGCTGGACAGGCGGAGGACACTCTACGGAGGGAGGAGGACAAGGAGGAGGAGCCTGCCCAAGAACCTGCTGAAGGAGCGGTACGAAGTACGGTCGCGGCCGCGCAGCGTCTCCAGAAGCAGAAGGGACTCCAGCGGCCGGGTCCTCAGCACCAGTAGGAGCTCCAGCGTCCGGGTCCACAGCACCAGCAGCAGCTCCACCGGCCGGGTCCCCAGCTCCAGCAGCAGCTCCACCGTCCGACTCCTCAGTACCAGCAGCAGCTCCACCAGGTGGGTCCGCAGCACCAGCAGCAGCGCCACCCCCAGAGTCGGGAGCTCCAACTCCGCTAGCACCGCCAACGCCAGAGTCCCCAGCTCCAGCAGCTCCAGTCGCAGTGCTCCCAGAACAGCCAGTCCCGGCAGCTCCAGTACCCCCAGTACGAGCACCCCCAGGACGAGCAACTCCAGCACCCCCAACTCCAGCCGAGCCACTAGGACGGCGAAAGCGTCGGACGTACCAGTCACGAAGCTGCTGCGGTGTGAGAGACTGCTCAGCACCCCGAACCGGAGCACCCCCAGACACAGTAACCCGAGGCTCCGTAGGCTCAGTAGCAGCACCCCCAGGCTCAGTACCCGCAGGCTCAGTACCCGCAGGCTCAGCACCCCCAGTCGCAGCACCCCCAGGCGCAGCACCCCCAGGCTCCGTACTCTCAGGCACCGTACCCTCAGCTCCAGCACCCTCAGTCCCAGCACCTGCAGCCCCAGCACCCCCAGGCCCAGCACCCCCAGGCTCAGCACCCCCAGGCTCAGCACTCCCAGCAGCACCACCCGCAGCAGCACCTGAGTCACCTGTGACCTCGACAGGCTCAGCGACGGGAGGAGGGTCTACCTGAGAGACACCTGAAGGAGCAGGACCCTGAGGGGGAAGGGGGTCTACCGGAGGGGGACCAGGAGCAAGGAAAAGCGGCGGGGGAGGGAGGGGGGCAGTGCGGTAGGGGAAGAGACGGTAAAAAGGGACCGACTCGTCAAAGGTGACATCCTGAGAGGCGAAGACCCGGCGCGAGGTGGGGTGGTAAAACTGCCAACCAGGCGCGTCAGGGACAAAGCCAAGGAAGACACAGGGAAGCGTGCGGGAGGAGAGCTTGTCCGCGGACGTATCGCGGACAAGGGCACGAGCACCCCACACCCGGAAGCGCGACGCATCGCCAACCTCCCCCGTCCAACGCAGTGTGGGCGAGGTCTCCGGCAAGGAGACACGGGGCCAGAGGTTGAGCTGATGCGCGGCGTACCGGACAGCAAACGGCCACAGAAAATGGGGAGCCGCCGCGTGGACCAAGGAGGTACGAGCGACCTCCATGACCAGGCCAATGCGACGCTCAGCAACCCCATTCTGCTGTGGGGAGTCCGGAAGCGTGAAGGTCTGCTCGATGCCCTCCGCCTGACAGAAGGTCCTCAAGAGATCGGAGGAAAACTCACCACCTCTGTCAGAGTGCAGACGCAGGACAGGAAGATCCGTCCGGAAACGGCGGCGGAGCTGGAGACGAACCGTGCGGATCCAAGGGATCAGAACAGCAGGGACCTCACCCTTGGTGCGCAAGGGGAAGACCGTGGTGTAACGCGAGTAGTCGTCGACAACCAGCAAAAAGTACCGCTCACTGCCCTGACCACGTACGCGGGCTGGGCCCCACACGTCCAGGTGGAGGGTCTCCAGAGGAGCCTCTGTCGGGGGGAACGAGGAGGAGTGAGGAGCGGCGCGCTGCCGCCCCTCGACGCAAGGAAGGCAAGGCGGCGCAGGCGAGGCAGGGAGGGGAGGGAGGGACCTGGGAAGACCGGACACAAGGAGGCGACGGTGCATGCCACGAAGGCGTGGCAAGGAGGGGTGACCCAGGCGGTGGTGCCAGAGAAGAGTCTGGTGCGACAGGGAACGACACTCACAGGCGTGGGCCACCAGACCTGACGCAGACACCTGACCGACAGCAGCTACCTGGGGAGACGCAGTGGTCAGTGTGTAGAGACTCGACCCCGGCCGACGGGTGAACGTAGCCAGGTGACGGCCGGTCCTGGAGCACGTGCAGATCGCCACACGCTGTCCGCCAGGGGTAAAGGTGTCAACCCACTGATCCTGGAGGACAGCGTTGCTCACCAGGTTCGTCGAGAACGAGGGGAGGTGGAAACCCGACAACGAGCCAGACGGAACCGCCGGACAAGGGAGGACAGTGGTGGACTGGGCAAGGACTGGGCCCCCAGAGGGGTCAGCCAAGGAGACTGGGACCGGTGCAGGAAGCGGTGTGAGCTCAGTACTGTCACGAAAGAAGCAACGGGAAGCACCTGAGTCAAGGGTGAAGGTGTGACAGGCCTCAGCCGGTGCGGTACCTGAGAGAGCAGTCTCTGTGGGTGCTGTACCTGAGAGAGCAGACTCGAAACCAGCCGGGACAGCACTGGGGGGAGCAAGTACAGGGGGCACCATACCTGAGAGAGCAGACTCACTAGTACCCAGGGCAGCAGGCTCTATACCTGGGTCAGGCGGCACACACAAGTAACAGTCTCCCTCGGCACTAACAGTCAATGCATACATGGCAGCAATAATAGCATCATAGTCAAGAGCAAAGACATCAACACCAGCCCTCATGAGCTCAGCCCAGCGGGGGCGCTCAACATCCGCACCCATCTCCTCACGCCAAGCGTCGTCAAGGCGGGAGAAGCAGCGGTACGGGGTGTGGAACCTCCCACACGTCTGTCCCTTGCGGTCACCTGTGCGAATGACATAAGAACAGCGGGCACTGGCCCCCGACGTCCCACGCTGAGCAAGCCACTCACGAAGCTGCTGGGTCGTCTGGGGACGCTGCTGCTGCTGGGAGCTCTGGCCCGAGCCAGTGCCTCCACTCCGACCTCCGCCGCCACCACTACCACCGCTCCGACCGCCACCGCCACCACCGCCACCACCGCCACCGCCGCCACCGCCGCCACCGCCGCCGCCGCCACTACTGCCACTGCTTCCTCCGCCGCCCCCGTCTCCACCACCGACCCCACTCCCACCAGCGCTCCCGCCACCGCTCCCTCCAGCACCGCCTCCCCCCCCACCTCCCCCACCTCCTCCCCCCCCAGCGCCACCACCACCACTTTTGCCCCCCTTGCCCTTGCCGGTGCGGCGCCTCCCACCAGGAGTAGAAGCAGCGCCAACAGACTCAGCACCAAGGAAGTCAACAGCAGCAGCAGCAGCGTAGGAGGGAGCGAGGGGAGAGGGAGAACACCCCTCAAAGATGGGGGTGCGAGGAGCGCCACGAGCAGCACCGACAGCTACAATGCTCTTTTCGGCCGCGAGCAGGTGCTCCTCTAGGAGGGCGACTGTGAGCTCAGTGGGACAGCGAGCAAGGAAGTGGTCTCGAACTGAGCGGAGGGTGTCAGGGAGACGGGTGACTATGAAGTGGAGTGTCCAGTACAGTGGAGGGGGGTTCTTAGCGCAGAACTCGGTGGGAAGGGCGGCACGCAGGCGAGCATCACTAGTGCGAAGGTGGGTGATAAGATCGGCGACTGTAGTAAAGGTGGACAGATCGGGGAACAGGTACGGCAGCATGAGGCGGCTAAGCTCGGCTGTGGCAGGCGAGGAGTAGCGAGCGACGACAGCGTCGTACAGGGCCTTAGCGGATTTGCAGTCGCCAAAATGCTCTAGCTCAGCTAACGGCAGGTGACTGCGAATGGCTAGGCGAGCAGCTGCGTCACGAGTCTGCCAGTGGGAACGAACACTAAGCTCAGCTGTGGCAGGAGGGGCAGGCGCAGCACCAGACGCGTAATCATAGAGCGACACATGCTCCTTGCTATCGCTCAGGAGGAACAGCTGCAGGTCATCTAGCCAAGCGGTGAACCGCACAGGGCGGCCCTCAGCATCGAACGACAGCACGCGGATGGAAGCCATAGCGACAGTGTGACAGAGTAACGCAAGCTGCCGCAGCAGGGGAAGGCGACTGTGCACGGATAGAGAGCAGCGGGCGAGGCTGGCGCTACGGGCAGGCGGCGCTGCAAGCGGTCAGCGCGACGGGAGGGCGACGCTGCGAGCGGGCAGCGCGGCGGACGGGCCGGGAAGCGGGCAGCGCGGCGGGCAGGCGGCGCTGCAAGCGGGCAGCACGGCGGGCGGGCGACGCTGCGAGGCGGGCGGGCCGCGAAGCGGGCAGCGGGCGGGCGGGCTGCGAAGCGGGCAGCGAGCGGGCGGGCGGGCTGCGAAGTGGGCGGGCCGCGAAGCGGGCAGCGGGGCGAGCGGGCTGCGAGGCGGGCGGGCCGCGAAGCGGGCAGCGAGCGGGCGAGCGGGCTGCGAAGTGGGCGGGCCGCGAAGCGGGCAGCGAGCGAGCGGGCTGCGAAGCGGGCGGGCCGCGAAGCGGGCAGCGAGCGAGCGGGCTGCGAAGCGGGCGGGCCGCGAAGCGGGCAGCGAGCGGGCGGGCGGGCTGCGTAGCGAGCGGGCCGCGAAGCGGGCAGCGAGCGGGCGGGCGGGCTGCGAGCGGGCGGCTCGGCGAGGGGCGCGCGAGGGCGCTAGTGAGGGGCGCGCGAGGGCGCTAGCAAGGGGCGCGCGAGGGCGCTAACGAAGGGGCGCGCGAGGGCGCTAACGAAGGGGCGCGCGAGGGCGCTAACGAGGGTGCGCGCGAGGGCGCTAACGAGGGGCGCGCGAGGGCGCTAACGAGGGCACGGGGTAGCGTGGTAACCGCATGCGAGCGGTGGTGGGCCCTTAAAAAAAACGGTCGGTAGGTCCTAGGGACCTCCTGCTCTGAATACCATCTCAAAATAACTAGGCAAGAATGATGAACTAGCAGAAGTTTGGGTACAAATATGAAACCCTAGTTGGGGTTGTACCCCATATTGGCTACCCCACTACAGCCTACTAGCATAATACAGTTTAACACTTACACTTAGTACCACTCATATGGCTCAGAAACGCACTTATAGCACTCATGAATATGGCTAAGTAACGCACTTACTTTTAGTACCACTCATATGGCTAAGTAACGCAATTACTCTTAGTACCACTCATATGGCTAAGTAACGTACTTACTCTTAGTACCACTCATATGGCTAAGTAACGTACTTACTCTTAGTACCACTCATATGGCTAAGTAACGCACTCACTCTTAGTACCACTCATATGGCTAAGTAACGCACTTACTCTTAGTACCACCCATATGGCTAAGTAACGCACTTACTCCAAAGTACAAGTCATGTCACTAAGTAACGCACTTACTCTTAGTACCATTCATATGGATAAGTGACGCACTTTCTTTAGGAACCTCTCATATCGCTAAGTAATGCACTTACTCTTAGTATCACTCATATCGCTAAGTAACGCACTTACTTCTGGTACCTCTCATATGCCTAAGTAACGCATTGACTCTTAGTACCACTTGTATCGCTAAGTATCGCACTAACTCGTAGTACCACGCATATGGCTAACTTACTCTTAGTACCACTCATATGGCTAAGTGACGCACTTTCTTTAGGTATCACTCATATTGCTAAGTAACTCACCTACTCTTAGTACCCACTCATTGGGGAGATAACTACTACAACGGGAGCTAGGCTACGGGCTAGGCACGGGTGCTCGTGTGATCTCTGAGTTCGTTCGTTCCTTAGTCGTTTTCCTAGTGCACACACTGCTTGCTAGTCCACGGGGCAATTTGGCAAGGTTGACAACAATGATACAATGAAGTTGGCAAGACAAGACTACATCAGAGCTAGCATGCAGGCAAGTCTACTGCCAGCGCAGCACGGTCGACTGCGTGCCAGCACGACTTGGTCGACCGCGCTCCAGTAGTGCAGAGTTGCGGCTTGCCAATGCTGCAAGTCGACGGCGTGCCAACGCTGCAAGTCGACGGCGTGCCAACGTCGCAGGTTGACGACATGCCAGCAGCGTTGCTCCCGCAGGACAGCAGCGCACCCGCTTCGCAGGTGCTCGCAGATGATTGGCGTGTAGTGCCTCGTTATCTGCACAGCGCACACACCACGTCAACTTCGTGCTGACGACTGCTTCTGATCAGCCATGTCGACCTTGGGATACCACCACCGAGGTCGTCCTCGCCAACATCGCCTGGGCGACCTTCGCGTGCCTTCGCAGATCCTCGTCACCCAGGTAACCTGGTCGACCGGGCAATGACGTCGACCAGCTGCTTCTGTGCGTGCCCGTCGATTGTCAACGGGAGTTGTGTGTTGGCCCCATCCTCGCTTGGGCGGAGCCGACTTCATGGTCGGGTGTAGGGGTGCAGCCGACCTGCAGCAGTGGGCGAGCTGGTCGACGAGGTTGGTCGACCTGCACGGGGAGCCACTGCATGGGCGCCAACTTAGGGAGTGCGCCAACTTCGGGTGGTCGACATGGGAAGTCGACCTGCAGAAGGCGTTGACCTGGTGACACCATCTTGGGGCTGCCGACTTGGGTGGTGGGCTAACGGAGCTTCTGGTAGGCTTGGTTGGTCCTGCTGGTCGACCTGGTTGGTCGACCAGACCTGCTGGTCGGTCGACCAGATAGGATAGTCGACGAGGAGCTGGTCGACCATGAGTGACGTCGATCTGGAGCTGGTCGACTAGAGGTAGTGGTCGACCTGGGGAGGTCGACTGGAGGTGGTCGTCGACTTGGGAGGTCGACGGGCACGCACAGGAGCAGCTGGTCGACGTGGTTGCCCGGTCGACCAGGTTACCTGGGTGACGAGGATCTGCGAAGGCACGCGAAGGTCGCCCAGGCGATGTTGGCGAGGACGACCTCGGTGGTGGTATCCCGAAGACAACCTTGCAGATCAGAAGCAGTCGTCAGCACGAAGTTGATTTGGTGTGTCCGCTATGCAGGTGACGAAGCAGTGCACGCCAATCATCTACGAGCACCTGCGAAGCGGGTGCGATGCTGTACTGCGGGAGCAACGCTGGCACGCCATCGACTTGCGCTGTTGTTACGCCGTCGACCTGCAGCGTTGGCAAGCCGCGACTCTGCACTGCTGGAGCGCGGTCGACCAAGTCGTGCTGGCACGCGGTCGACCATGCTGCGCTGGCAGTCGACCTGCTTGCATCCTAGCTCTGATGTAGTCTTGCCTAGCCAACTTTATTGTATCATTGTTGTCAACTCTTCTTTATTGAAACTCTTGCCAAATTGCCCCGTGAACTAGCAAGCAGTGTGTGCACTAGGAAAACGACTAAGGAACCGAGAACGCAGAGATCACACGAGCATCCGTGCCTAGCCCGTAGTCTAGCTCCCGTTGCAGCAGTTATCTCCGCATGGTGCGGTGAGCGTGGACGGCACACGACTTACCTTTCAGTCTAGTCGACTTAGTTGCACCTTACCTAAGTTGTTCATAGGCCGGCAGCTGTGCGTTAGTCACCATGGTAGGAGCCGTAGGTGACGCGGGGGTGGTGGACACCCTGGAGGCACGGCTGGAGAACGCGAGGAGGAAGCACGAGGCCAACGGGTATAACGACCTGCCCTGGGCGGTCGTCGAGGCTGGCATCTGTTCCTTGTGGGCGACGGAGCACCCTTCTCGGCCTGCTTCTCCTCGACCGGCGAACACCGAGGGCGGCGTCGACGTGGGCGTCAACGCCGGTGGTGGCCAGGTCGGCAGCAGTGCGGGAGGCACGTCGTCGAGGCAGCGTGTTATGATTGACACCGATGAAGTCGGCGGCGTTCAGGCGCGAGGGATGCGGTTGTCAGCGGCTGCAGGCTCCCCGGAATGGCCCGCACAGGTCGATGTGCACGACAGCCAGCACGTCGTCGGCGTCGGAGCCCTGGTCGGGAAAGGAGTGCCGAGCCAGCTTTCCGCCGACGCTGACTTCAGGTCCAGCCCAGTGGCGACCTCGTGCTTCGCCGAGCGCAGGATGGTGTCCATGCTGACGTGTGCAAGCCTCGCATGCAGCCTGTCCGGCGTCGAATTCGTCCCTGAGATAATCGCCCGCAAAGCCACCACTACATCAGCGTTCGTTGCCGAGCAGGGACGTAAGTCGGTGCAGAGGACCCGGCCGGAATACGTTGCTCGACCAAGCACGTCGTTCGTCGCCGAGGCGAGCAGCATCCCGTCGTCGTCGTCCTGCAGCTTCACGCCGTTCTCCTTCAGCTGACCGGCCGACAGCAGGTTCGTGTGCATGCCCGGGATGCACAGCACGTCGGGAATGAGCACCCGCTTCCCGGCCTCCCCTTGCAGCGCAACCGTGCCCCGGCCCTTGACGTCTTGCAGCGCCCCATTGAAGCCGCGCACGTGCTTGACGTCGCCGCTTGGCCCCAAGTCGACGAAGCCATCCTTCGTCCCCATCAGGTGATGTCAGCAGCCGCTGTCGTGTAGGACCACCGCCGGGTTCGCCTGCACAGCTGCCGCCACCGCCTGGAAGTCCTCGCCGGCCTCCGGCGCCAGTGAGACGGTCGGCTCCACGACGCCGACCAGCGAGCACGACGCCTCCTTGTCGTCTCGCCTCTTGCCGCCAGCAGAGTAGTCGGCGTCCTTCGTCGATGTCGATGTGGCCGACTGCTTCTCCTTGCGCGGCTTGTTTCCTCCTCGACGAGGACGACGACTGCCAGACCTCCCGCGGCCTCCCTTGGCGTCGTCGTCGTCGGAATCACTGCGG